TTACACTCTCATCTTCATTTCTCATCTCTCATCTTCTCTTACTCTTATCCTCTTTCTCTCTCTCCTCATTCATCTTCCCCTACTTCATCCTCTCTCTCCTCTTCTCTTTCCTCATGCCTGTCTCCCCCCTTTCGCTCTCACTATAATAAACTATGATTAATATGCTCTCCATGGCTTGTGTTCTTTCCATCGTGGCGGCCCTGGTTCACTAATTAACAACATATGGTGCCGAGACTCGACAGGTTTTCCTGGCATCCCCTCCTGCTTTGACTGAGATGCCGACATCCTGTGAACTTCAACGTGGTCGCTTTTCCAACTAAACATCTCTGGATTCTTCTGTCCACCATCGCCATGTCTGGTAAGCCCACCCATCCCTTGCTTCCATGAGTTAGGACTTATTGAGATTGTGGTCTCTCGTTTTCAGACAGGTCAAAAATCCCAGTTCTGGGTGACCACATGTCTCTCAGCTCTGGGAGCCCTGGCCCTGATCTGCTATGTTTGAGGAATCACAGAAATCAGTCCTGGTTCCCTAATTAACAACAGTTATGACTTCCTGTGATGCTCACCTTGCAACAATGTCTTTGTTTCAGGAGGTGATTGTAACTAAGTTGTTATACTGATGTTCTTCTCCTGTAACCCCTCCTATTTTGCCCACCAAATCCCCCATTTGGTTTTTTTGTTGTTGTTGTTGTTGTTTTGTTTTGTTTTATGAGACAGGGTTTCTCTGTAGCTTTGGAGGCTGTCCTGGAACTCACTTTGTAGACCAGGCTGGCCTTGAACTCACAGAGATCCGCCTGCCTCTGCCTCCCGAGTGCTGGGATTAAAGGCGTGCGCCACCAACGCCCAGCTCAAATACCCCATTTGGAAACAGCTGACTCCTGAGCTATAAGATCCTTGTTTTCTGCACATCAATGCAGACCTCTCTAACCCTGCCTTAGGGGAAAGGAACCTGTATACATGGATATAAAAAAGCTTGCTTTGATTAATTTGGCCATAATGGTCTGGGTTGGTGGTCTTTCTCCCATCTTTGGGATTAACATTCCCACCCATGCTGGATTGAAAAAGCATCAGTTTCCACTGGGAAGCCACGGCTACTGCCTCTGGCCTTCTTTTCCTCCATGCTTCCTCCTCTGTTCCTCACTAAATGCCCAACTTCATCACCTCCCTTACCCTTTTGATAGTCCACATATATGCTATGTTAAGCCTGACAAGTTGTCATCTGTAAATCTGTGTAGATTTATCCCAGGAGCGGTGTCTGCCACTGGGGATCTGATCCCACTGTTGGAGAGCTATCTAAACATACTACACCAATATCCATTTTGGGTCAAATTCTGTGCCACTCTTGGTCTCCTGGATCCTAGATGGGCTATGTGACCTTCAGTTGCCTCCCAATTCCGCATGGATCATCTTGGCTGTGAGAAAGTGCTCAGTGTCAGTATCTTCCTTATCAAACCCAGATCATATAGGAGTTGAACAGCTGGAAAGAGGGGGAATGCAGCCTGGTGTTGGTGGCACACACCTTTAATACCAGCACTTGGGAGGCAAAGGTAGGTGGATCTTTGTGAACTGAGGCCAGCCTGGTCTACAGAATGAGTTCCAGGACAGCCAGGGCTACAGAGTGACCCTGGGTGGAGGGGAGGGTGCATTCCTGTTTATCTCAGATAAGTTCTTTCTCAAGAACTTTCCAAAGCCCCAGGAGAAATACACATTCTGTGCTCTGCACACCACACAGATTTCCATAATAAAGTTTACCGTTGGCACTTGGAGAGTGCAGTAATTCAGTCTGAGCATGGTGGTGCACATCTGTGATTCCAGCATTCAAGAGGCTGAGGCAGAGGCTGGAGAGGTGGCTTAGAGGTTAAGAGCACTGGCTACTCTTCCAGAGGTCCTGAGTTCAATTCCCATCATCCAAGTGGTGGCTCACAACCATCTATAATGAGATCTAGTGCCCTCTTTTGGCATACAAGTGTACATGCAGGCAGAACACTGTATACATAAAAAAATTTAAAAAAGAGAGAGAGAATGAGGCAGGTGTGGATTGGTCAGTTCTATACATAGCAAGATCCGGCCACAAAAAGAAAAAGATAATAAAACAAGGACAACAAATTGTAAGAGGGGCTGGAGAGATGGCTCAGTGGTTTAGAGTACTTGTTCTTGATGAGGTTCCTGGATAAGTTCCTAGCACCCACACAGTGGCTTACACTATAGGTCCTTAATTCTATATTTGGTGCCCTCTTCTGGCCACCTGTGGGTACCAGGGACATACACAATGCACATACATACATTCAGGTAAAACATTCATACACAGAAAATTTAAAAGACTAAAACTCCAGGGCTGGAGGTTGGCTCAGTGGTTAAGAGCACTGGCTGCTCTTGCAGAGGACTCAAGTTTGATTCTAGTCTCCATATCGGTGACTCACAACTACCTGTGACTCTAACTCCAGGGGATCCAGCTTCCTTCACACGCACAGACCCACACGCATGTACACAATTTGTTTTTATTTAAAAGATAAATAAAGACACACTCAAGATCATTTATCTGTGTGGGGAAAGGTTTCGCTGTTGTTTTTGGTTTTTCAAGACATGGTTTCTTTGTTTAACAGTGCTGTCTGACCTGAAACTCACTCTGTAGACCAGGCTGACCTCAAACTCACAGAGATCCATCTGCTTCTCCCTCCAAAATTCTGGGATTAAAGGCGTGCGCCACCACTGCCAGCAGAAAACGGTTTTTAGCCAACAGTTCTGGAAGCTTCATCCTGCGATGGGGGAACTCAGACCTTTGGTCCTCTGGTGGCCATGCTGTATGTCGGGGCCGGAAATGTGGGGCAGCACAAACTACTCACCTAATGGCTAAGGAACAAAAGGCCAGGGTCCACAGTTCTCCCTCTAGGGCGTGTCTCCAGGGACCTGCTGACCTTCTAGGGCATGTCTCCAGTCACCTGCTGACCTTCTAGGGTGTGTCTCCAGTCACCTGCTGACCTTCTAGCAATGCCATCCACAGATAGAGCCTTCACCACTTGGGCCTGGGGAGGGGGCAGGGTGTCAAGATTTGACCTGTGACAAGAAGTTGAAATCTTCTCTCACAGGAGATGGGGCAATCTGTGGTCTTCTCTCCGCAGCTGTCTGCCATCTTCCCCCAGTATCACCCTGCTTTCCTCAAGTTTTCCTTCTCCCCACTTGTGACCACAGACTGCCCAGGCTTCCCCTCTAATCACTCTTAGCACTCCATCCCTGAGTGTGAACACCCTGTATTGTGACACAGACCACACCAGGTTGGGACATTTGCTCTGTAGGCTGACCTGAGATGGGGACCAGTCAACGGGAGAAGGACTCAAGTCACAGGAAGCTCTGGCACAACTATTAAAGATGACAACAAAGCCAGGTGTTGGTGGCACACGCCTTTAATCCCAGCACTTGGGAGGCAGAGGCAGGCGGATCTCTGTGAGTTCGAGGCCAGCCTGGCCTACAGAGCAAGTTTCAGAACAGCCTCCAAAACAATACAGAGAAACCCTGTCTCAAAAAACCAAAAAAAAAAAAAAAAAAAAAAAAAAGACAACAAAGGCATTTCCCAAAGCAGCTCTCAGACCCTCCTCCCTCTCTCCCTGAGCAGAGAGGAGTCCGGTGTGTGTGTGTGTGGAAAAGGCAGGAACTAGGAGCTGGATGGAAAGAGCTAGACTATGTGGGGATGCCCTCAAAGTCTCAATTGATTGCTATAACCACAGCAATGCCAGATACTGATGGCTTCTCCTCCAAAACGGCTCTCAAAGATCAACCCACTTCACAGCTTTGTAGTCAAGGACCGTGCTGTATAACTATACGATGGCCCCATGTCCTGATGCCTTCATCCCTGCTATGCTACTATCCTGAGCTTCAGATAACACTCTCATATCTGCACTGCCAAGCTGCAGGAGAATGAATCCATGGGAAGGCCTGACCTAGCACAGCAAATGACAGCCTAAGGATGTTACTTAGGCAGGTCAGTTGGCAATGGCTTCTGGGAGAGGAGGTGACATTTTACCTGGGAGCTGAGGGTATGAAAAGGTGGCCATTAGGAAAGCCAGGAAGAAAGTTCCAGACAGAGAGAACAATACGGGTGCTAGTTAGTGGTTTTTGTTTGTTTGGTTTTGTTTTGTTTTTTAATCAACTTAGCACAAGCCTGCTTCAGGAAAGAGAGGACTCTCAGTTGAGAAAATGCATCCATCAGATTGGCCCATAGGTAAATCTGTGGGGGCGTTTTCTTGATTAATGATTGATGGATGTGGGAGGGCTCAGCCCACTATGGGCGGTGCCACCAGAAGCAGGTGGTCCTGGGTTGTGTAATAAAGCAAACTGAGCAAGCCATGAGGAGCAAGCCATTAAGCATTGTTCCTCAATGGTTTCTGCTTCAGTTCCTGACTCCAGGTTCCTGCTCTGCTTGCCTTCCTGCCTTGGCATCCGTCATTTATGAGCTATGATTGGGGTATATAAGCCAAAGGAGCCCTTTCCGCCCTAAAGTACATTGGTCAAAGCAATGAAAAAAGGTACAATTGGGCAAAGGCCTTGAGGGGAAACAGAGCTGGGTACCAGTGTGGCTGGGATAATACACGGGAGGCAGGAAGGGCGCTCTGAAGTAGTGGCCTCAAGCAGGGGTGGGCCAGGCAGACTTGGAGGCTGCAGGGAGTTTGGAATTCATTTCTAATAAGCTAGTTTGAGGAAGGCACTACTGAACTACGACATAGTTTCTAATACCACTGGTTTCTAGAAACAAGGCACTGCCGAGGAGACTTCCCCATAAAGCAGGAGATCCGCATTTCTCCCTCCTGCCTAGCAGTTACGCTGTCCACCATCCTACCTCTGTACCGGACAGTGTGCAGTTCTGCCTGGGACTACTGCTAGGTTACCTAACCCATCTCCTTGCCTGCCTGCCTATCAGTCGCCCCATGCACTAGTCTTCACCGCGCTGGCATGGCAGAGTCCCTCCAGGACTGCCTGTAAGATCCAGGAAACCTCCACAAACTTCT